CTCCAGAAATGACGTATCGAAACCAGAGCAACTTGAAAAGGAGACGGGGCTCAGACACTTGTAGTCTCATGTCACAGAATATATCAGTTCAAATTCAAGCAGCTGAAACATCTGAACTAGGATTTACTTAGGTAAGTACTTTACTCAAAGACTGTTTATGAAAAATTATCAAGAAAGTCTCCAAATTGCAGGGTAGAGCGCCACAACTGCAAATCCCAAATGAAGTGAGACTCTTCTCAACAGCCTAGACTTGGTGCTTCACTCACAGGGCTTAAGCTAGACTGAGGAGAAAGTCTTTCTCCTAGCTTCGTCAATCCCCAGGTTGATGTGCTAGCCAGGGCAGCTCCCACCTGAGATGTTAAGCTTCCACCCATGCTTTCTGCCATGCACAAGAGTCTAAAACAAGACTGTGAATGCTGTGTGGCTCCCTCTGCCCTTTTAGTGGGTCTGCTCCAGACACACAACAAAAAAGTTTCATCTGCACAATGCTTTATATGAAAGTTATTGCATCTGATAAATCTGAGAGAGCTCAATTCTCCAGTGCATATGCAGGTCATGGACCACACTACTTCAAAGCCTCTATTCTTTTCTCATATGGTATCCAGATCAAAACATGTCAAATTTTAGTGCACTTTTACAATTAATGCTTTCTGTATGAACTTAGCTGGAAGTTTCTGGGACAGTGTTTTTTGGATCTGATTGGATTTTTGCCATTTGCAAAGCATTACGTCTAATAGGATACCATAGTAGGATGACACCATACATGAATTTTCATTATTCCTGTTCTACTTCACATATGCAAACTGACATCTCACACTGTACAAATAAAGGAAATGAATTGTTCCTGGCATCCCTCTGGTACTTGCCTACAGGCACATCCAGCACAAGCAGAGCTGAAATGAAGACTCTGGAAGTGATTTGGCTGACTGAATGAGAATTTTTACAATGCAGGAGACTGCATCTGAGCGCGTCACCTTGGGCCCTCCTTAGGGGTCCAGGAGAAATAACTGATATAGTCAGTGGGATACACAGAGCAGCTCTTCTCAATCTGAAGTATGCATCTATGTATGGTCGGATAAATAGCACCCCAAAGGCTGCTGGCTACGGTGGGAGCATAAACAAATAACTAGCTCAGAAGTGGACATCTAAATTTAAATGAGACGAACCTCTTGGGCTGCCCTGAAAACTTTTCATTAAAACTAGATTTGGCTTTTTAAAACTTAATCATTGTGATCTGACATTTGTTTATACATTAATGACATTAGAGTAATCAATGGAGTTCACTCTCACTAGCATTACCTGGTAAGCATGGTCCGTGTGTACGAGGTAGAGGTTGGTAGGAGCTGAGCGGCTCAGAGGTGTCATCAATTTAGTCTCAGTTTTGGCACAGGAAGTTTCAGGACGGATTGCGTCTTGGGTGGGAAAGGAAGGAGGAGATGCTAAAGATGGAGAGACTGGGGAAAGACTGCTTAAGCCATCAGCTACTGAGTCCGTGTTGAGCCTGATTTCTGTATAGTAAAAATCCTCCTCTCCATCACTGTAGTCAGACTCTCCTACACGTCTGTATAAAGACAAAGAATGAAGGGCTGATTTAATGAAAGCAAGAACCCCAAGGTAAATTAGAAGTTCTAGATGCATAAGCAAATATATTTATACTGTCAATAAATTAATATTCCCAGTTTCAACCCTACCTACTTTATCAACATTCTGGCTGCAGGGAAGGGAAGAAGAAAAGAAAATCATCTAGTCTGAAGGGAAAAGAAGCAGGAAATAGATTTTTTTTTTCCCCTGTGTGTTATTCTTGCCTAATTCTTTGACCTTGGAGTAGATGTTTAACTTCTATGCTTCAGCTTAAATAGCATCTTCTCATTCCTAACTATTGAAGTTAACAAGAATCTCGATGTACTTTGACTTCAGAAATGACATAGCAGCCACAGAAGGACAGGTAAAGATAGCAAACAAAGGCAAGATATACTTCACTAATGTAACAGCAAACAATATGTAATCTTACCATAGGTTACTTAATTAAATCAAATATAGTTATGGCCATGGTTCACTGTAACTCTCCTTGGCATAACAGAAGAAGCTGCTAGAGAACCATCTCACCATGCAACTCGCTCAGGCACAGGTAGAGAAAGGACATGCAAGGGCTGGCTTGCTAGTCCTGGACTTTCTGGTCCTACTCTATAGATGCAGACTTACTGAATGAGGAGGCACTATCTGCTGCATGTTTGAGTGCAAGGAGCAAAGCAGCCTAGTCAAAGCAGTAGTTTCCAGTATCTTTAAGTCCCAAACAACCACTGTTCTAGCACATTCATAATCCACATACTATAGTAACTCACAGCTTATACATGCGTACTTTCTCCTGAATCTTCCATATGGGAAACCTGAGAGCCCTAAGTGTATTCCTGCCTGCGTGTCCATATCAGGGCTGAACGCTGGGCATGCACACCAAACCCAATCCGTAGTCAGTTCCTCAGCCTCCTTGCCCATATACCTCTACCTGTGGTTCTCTCACCACCTTACTCAATAGAACTTGCTGAGAGAGCATTGATTCAGCAGGTTTGAAAGGCTCTACCAGAAGTACCATCCGTCAGACCACAGCCAGTCACTCACCAAAACTCCTCTCTCCAGAGTTACAAACTCCAAATTCCAGGGAAGTTCTGCTCTTTACTTCACCCTCTCCTCTGCCACGAAAAGGATGTTCCCATAATATACAGGACAAAGCAATATTTGTAACTGCATTTTGAGAGAGATTTGCTCTGTTTCTGATAGTCTTACTCTTCAGAGCCTAAGCCCAACAGCAATTTCTATGACCTTTGCAAGACCCTCCTGAACTCCACACCAGACTACTTCCTCATGGTCACTTTAATTTTTAAGCACTGGGTAACACAGACTTGCACAACAGAGATGTATTTCCATATACCTAATAGGTAAAGACCATGAGTCCCCACTGTAACTATATATGAGGCCACTAGGTCACTCAGCAAATGGCACAGGAGATTTCAGTTGCAAACTAAAGCTCTGAAATAAGCTTGTGTCATATAAGATTCATTCACTTTTGCTTCTAGTCCAAGCAATGTACACATGGAATTGCAGCTCAGTTTCTTATTCTTAGGTTTCTTAGGTTTTAGGGTGGGGAGTTGAGTTAATTTGACTCAGAAGTAGCACAAGCACCTGATCTGATGTGAAACAAAGCTTGAAGTATTAATGCAAGACCCTAAAAAAGCTGCCGTCTTTTGCACAGCATCAGCCTGGATGTGACATGGATAGCACATATGAAGGAAATGCCACTGAGTTGCGCTGCCATTAGGGAAGTGCAGTGTGACCTAGAGCTGTGTTTAACCTTCTAGTAAAGTTCACAACAGCTAAGAAAGTGCCTCGCTGTTGGAGTAAGCTCCTGTTCACCTTGATGCACTACTCCACAATTTCCTCAGAAACCTAGGGACCTGAGACAGAAAAGCCAAGGACAAGCCAGTTCATCTCCCTGGCCAAGTGCAACTGCTACCCTTCCACACCAAATCCTTTAGGCTCCTGAAGAGACTGCTCTCTTACCCAAGGTGAATGGTCCGTATGTGTTTCTGAATCCCTGCAGCTGTGCTCAGTACCTTCCCGCAGTTTTTCCACAGGCATTTGAACATCACCTTCATGGAGTTCTGGAAATTGAGTAAGCAACATTAGTTATACAAAAGACAGAAAGAAAACCAAACCACCCAAAACAGATATATAGCTACAAAACATTGTGAAGGTTCAGAGCCTCTAACTCCGAATTTGTAATGATGGAAGTCTCTGTCAACAGTGTCATCCTACTGAACTCAACAGAATCCCAGTGAAAAGCCATGGAAGCAGGTTGTGCCAAAACTTTACCTCTCTCTGCGCTCTGGCATGGCTTTTTCATTTGCCAGTTCCAGTTTCTATCTCCCCATTAAAGGAGGTAGGTGATATAAAAACTTCCCACACTTCTTTGGAGCCTTTCAAAGAACAACTGATGTGGACTTCTCACTTAATGCAAGGCATCTTCTTAAATTAAGATCTTTCTAAAGCAAGCTCTTATAAATATTTCTGCTCGTGAATTTTGCAACACAGAAAAAATATTCTGCCAGAAAAACATAGTTTCTGCAATGACAATATTGACCCATGAGCTGTCAAAACCTGCTTTTATTTCATTCAGAAGCTGCTGTGACCCTTACCTGGGCATGAGAATGAGAAGCCATCTGGCTGTGTTCAACATTATTCTTGTTGTATTCTTTAATATAACCTAATTGGCCTAAACTGAGTTACCGTTGATTTACAGCACAGCCAACAAGGCTATAAACAGCCCGATCTACAATATTTTGAAGACTCTGGAGAAAACTAGTCTTAATTTAAAGCACAGTATGCGGTAACAAACACCACAGATGTTGCAGAACTGTATAGATTTTTTTAAAGGCTAATTTTACCCCAAAATGAAACCTACTGTATGAATTTTGAATTAAAAAACCCTAAGTAATTTGTACTGCTCAAAAATAATTTTCTCTATTATTACAGAACACATTATTATAGAAAACATGAGGAAGAGCTTCAAAATACTGTATTATTATCCTATGATTTTAGTTACATATAAGATTAAATTAATATATTCATATAAAGCTCAATTTAAAAAAAAGGGGAACAAGCACATCCTTAGAGTTAAGTACATGCTTCGCTGTGTCTTGAACAAAAGCTGACTTGGTCTTTCTTTAATTTGGACCTTTTGGAACTGCATGCCAGAAGACAGTAAGTTTCAGCATTTGCTAGAAAGATGATGATTAGAATATAATTTTAAAAAATGTCAGCTGTTAGGCTTTTTAAAATACATGTTAGTATAATATAGTATCATGGTCTCATAGTTACTTGGCTGTCTAACACGTCCTGTTTCAAAGTATGAATGATAAGGTCTTTAACACTTGAGGTACCTGATCATACTGTTTGTATGAAAACCTTCTACTATGGAATCAATTACACATAAATTCCCTCTATAATTTTTTGATCTGATAATACAACTACCATTCAAACAGATACAGAACTCTTTTTTCCTAAAATGAAATGTAATCTATCTAGAAATTCTGATAGGTATATTTCTTACTTTTATAATATAATACTAAATACTATCATCAACTGAAAAACCCACAACCAACCACCAACCACAGTGACAAGATGAAGGCCATGCTTATCATTTACATCTTTGGAATTCTGATATGACATCATGAGCACCATATGCATCTTTAAGAACCCATAATGGTTTAATATCATTCTCCAGTTTGATGGTAAAATCAATCTCCTAGCTCCATTGTTGTTTTTAGCTTTATTGTCAATGCTAGGACTCTGCAAAAACCCATGCATTTTAACATAACCAAATGAAACCTCACTCAGTAGAAATACAGAACATAAACCAAGCTTCCATTTATGACTAGTCAAAAAATTGCCTAACCAGGCTTAATGTTTTATTTAAGAAAATAATGGAACATAAATGGTTTGGTGAAGAATAAGTACATTAATGGAAACTTTCAAGCAAGCAACTTTCTTAATGGGAAGTGGTTGCTAACATGACATTTTCCAAACAGAAAACGGAAGAAACTTTAATGAGTAAAAGTAAGGTTACCGATCACTCTATTTCCAGGTTTATTCTTTCTGATTTTTGCAGCCCTGAAGAAGATATAACCTGAACATTTTAATTTCAGCTTCTAAAGGTGCGAAGCTGTACTCAGATAAAAGTACCATGTTGGGGCCAGAATCAAAAAAACTGCAGGCAAATCAGTTTATTTATAAAACAACGTTTGGCAGGTAATATATCTACATTAAACACTTGCCATAGAGAGCAAATTCCCTGTGACCAGAACAGATAGCGTAATAGATCTGCGATGGGTACATAAATGGAAATATTTGAAGACAATTTAGATAACAATAAAGATAGTGGCTGCAAACCCCTCTGTCTCATCACAGTTGAGCAATGAGTGATGCTAATAAGCTGAACTTGAACTGAGAAGGAAAAGGCAAACCAGCACACTTCTGCATTCCTACTCCTGTCCCACACCCTCCAAAATCATCTCTGTCTTTATCAGCTCTAACTTCTAATTTACTATAACAAAGGTTATATTTGAAATATTTTTCTTCCTTTGTAGCAAGAAGCACAAACATTTTACACCCTTCTCCCACAAACAAAGGCAGAACAGCATGGGTCAGCAAATAAGCAACTTCTGGAGCAAAAGGATAAATCTGAACAAGTTTAAACAATCATTAAAACTTCTTCCTGCTGCTGATGAAGCAATTAACCGTATCAGACTGAGCCAGAAACAAACTCACTATAGAGAATAAATTCTCTGGTTTTATTCCTTCTTACAAAAAGTCCTTTTTCATCTTGCTATATAAAATCTGTCCTGTTGTGTTGGGAGGGAAGGAAACTTTGATTAGTGCCATCTCTTTGTTTTCTTTTTCTTCAAGAGGAGCTTGCTTGCTAGCGTAATGGTACTTTTCTGAGGTTAGTTTTGGACTGTTGTTTTTTTTTTTTTACACTGTGTTTTATTTAGTCTGCTTTTCTGCTCCTACTGAGGATAAACTTGGCCATGGCTAATACTGTATCAAAAGCCATCAGGTTTGATCTCTCTCTCTCTTTTCACTCCATATGTTTGCACAGAGAAAGCTTCACAGTATTAAGGTATCTGACATGCTGTCAGACAAACAGCACTTTCAGGGAACAAGAACTATTAAGGCCATATCCAGTTTTTGTGATGACATGTAAAGGCTGCCTGTTGCATCCTGCATACAAAGAATTTGCCGAAGTAGGACAGAAATCCTTTGAATGGCCAGAGGCAACACCTTCTGGAAATCATTCTAGTGTTTTCTGAGCAGGAGGCTCTGTAGAACCTCACCATCTGCCAGCAAATATGTGGTGCTGATGGCAGCATGTGTGTGCAGTAGGTGACTAGGTTGAATGAGACATAGTGACTAGGCTAAGTACCTATGTCAATTGGATGCCAAGGAGGAATACACATACAGAGCTGTTTGGGTGACCTGTTCCTTTCTCACAGCAAAATAAGTCTACCGACATCCCATCTGCCCATGGGTATGGAATTTAACATGAGGCTAACCTTTCTCTTCCTAGGAATGGGTTCATCAAAGAGAAGGTTGCTTGTTTCAGCTTCATCAATACCATCATCTGGCTGGGAAGGTGTCCGAAAAGCTTTGAAGCTATCAGCTGACAGAGGTGGAGATGGGGTGGATGGGTTGGACTGGTCACTGGGAGCGTTCCAGCTCCAGTATCCACTGCTGCTGGTACTAGAAGGCACAAATCCTCCTTCTTTCCAAGATCCATTTAGGGATTCTGTCAAGAACAACAACAGCCATCGTTAAAACAGTATCATGTGTTAGGGCTAAGCAGCTCATTTATCTAAGGCTTAGATGCCATGTTGGTAATTAACTGTACATTCAATAAAGGAAAGTGAAACATTGGATGTAGAGAGGACAATCACATCTATTCCATGGTACACAAATTACATATTCCACACTTGATTTTTCATGTGTTTTTAACAAACAAGTATTTTTCTAAAAAGAAATGCTGGGTTTGGAAAAAATAACCTGTTCTGAAGCATAAACTGCAATAAGCAGTCAGATGTTGTATGCATGATTAAGGCAAAACATTCAAGTACATCTTCAACTTTCAACAGCAACACACAACTGTGGTAGGGTGTCAGAGCAAGCTCCAAGCCAACAGGAGATCCCCTGGGAAGGGGACATACACTCTGAGCCCCAGGACACTAACCAAATCTGCAAAAACATGATCGTCATCCCAGTACTAAAACATCAAAGAAAACCATAATTACACTCTAACTGTCTTCTCATAATCTCCCAGTGTACACACCTCTGCCTAATTTGAATCTCTAATCGAGGTGGTACGTACCCTTGGAAGGATATCCCTTTTTCTTCATACACGTGTATCGTTAGGCATCTAGTTTCAGAAGTGGGACACGTAGACGCTGGATCACCTTCACACCTACTTGCTGGAGGAACCCCCTCCTCACTGCAGCAATTCCCCTGACATTAGGTGGTAAGCAGATGCTCAGACTAACAGGTTACTCTACAACACGCTGGGTGGGAGTAAGAGCACTGCTTTCGCAGTCTGAGGCACAGCTTGAGCCATGCTTCACGTGCTGAGGCATTAGACATTGGCATGTCACTCTTCCAAATCCCTGAAGGGCTTTTGGCAGAAGAGTATGTAGGCCATTAGCTCACCAAAGGTACAGCTTCAGCATATCCAGTGGTGCAACCATGGGGAGCTCTGACTGAAGCTTCAGGTTCTGACAGGGCTCAGGCACATGTGTAGGGACGGTTTAGGTGCAGTTTCTCCCTACTCAGGCATTGGAAGCTTTTCCCAATGACACTGTAGGTGCTCGAGTATTGTGCAACACCCAACTTTGGAGTTGGCAAGGAAATAACACCTTATCTGATCGTGAAATGTTATTTAAATGTGAGGCAGGAGTCTTTTCAAGCCAGTGCCTGCCTTTAGAAGTTCTGCAGAAGTCACTCCTTCATTCCTTCTCAGTTTCTTACAGATAAATTTAACTAATGACATCAGCAAGAAAATAATGTCTACCACCTGCTACCAAAAGCTTACCCGAAAACCAATGAATCTTTTTTTCCTCCTAATTCAGTCAGTTTTGGACGAAACCCTTAATCATTAACATCAGCTGCTCACAAAACAGAATGCAGTGCTCCATCACGTAAGCACATGCATAAAAATACACCCTTGTAGGCAGCAACCATGTCCCCGCACTTACTGATCAGGGCCACATAGCATAAATAGGATCAACCCTCCCTCCCCCCTCAAATTCCTCTTTGGAAAAGGATATATACATTTCCGGTAGCTAATAAGTTAACATATGAAAATATCATGTTTTGGTTCATGATTACAGCCTTCTTATGACTGTAATGGAGGTGTTTTTTGTTTAAGTATTTCTACTTGAGTCTCGTGCGAAAGCCAAGAAGTACGTCTGGTATCAACCTGTGACCTTAGCATCGCTTAAAATTTCAATTTCTTCAGAAAAACAAAGAAAACAGCATTCTTTCAACTACTACTTTCTGACACATTCATGGTGGTACTTAGCATTCTCAGGGTTTACAGCTTCTCCTCACCTTGCTGAGAAAGATGTAAATCAGGAACATTTTAAAAGTAGTATGGAAAAGACTGAACGAGGCTGACAACAGGGAAAAAACAAACAACTGTTCTCATTAATACTGACAAATCTGTCAATGTAAAGCAGTTCAAAATATAAATAAATGCAACTTACTCTTATTTTGGGACTCTTTTCACATTTCTGGAGTTGCGTGAAAGAGAACCAGACCAAATATTACTCAACTGCAGGAAAACAAGGGCCAAACTCTGATCCAGCTTACATGGGCGATCATCCTCAGTAATTTCAGCACAGATCAGACTTTAATATTATTTTTTTATTTCTAGGCAAGATTCCATTTGTTTAAACATTTGTTTAATTACACTGCTACTTACTGCCCTTTTTTGGAAAAGGATGTAGAAAGAATTCATCATTAGTATGTTTGTAGCTTGTATTACTAAGATCAGAGCCAAGCCTTGCAACACCAATTGAGCTGTAACTTAGCAAATCTTTATACTTTTATTGAAATCTTTAGTAAGTCTTCACTCAAGGAAAACTAAGATATTGAGGGAGAAGATGCCCAACAAAGCTTCAAAATCTTGTCTGTGACTACTGAAAACACGTGAATTACTTTTTCAGGCTTGCCTTCCCAGATTTCGGGAAACAAGCAGTCAAGCTATGTGAAGAAATATCAAAGAGCACTCAGGCTGCATGAAGAAATATCAAAGGCTGTTAACAGCTACCATTTACCTATTAGCAATTCAAAAGGGCTCGTTTGGAAGATCTTTCCAATCGGCAGCTGCTAGCTAGTGTGCACTGCTGGTCCTGACAACTGTCATCTGCTCAAACTGTTTAAGGTGGCACTTAAACTGCCTTGCCGCACACAAGAGCAGCTCCCCATGACCAGGGATGCAACGTGGGACACGCGCAACCACTCCGAATCCTTGCCTGGCACATCAGCACAGATCCACTTTCATCTGTGGTTTCAGCAGTGAGCTGGAGAGCCCATACGTTTTTTCCCTTCCATTGGCCTTCCCTTGAGGCTGGCAACCTCCAGCCCTGTGGTGGGACAGTCACTGGGGATGTCACCACCGGAAGTTTCCCAGGGCTCCTCAGAGCAGTGATACTCCATAAACACTTGTGGTTTTAACATTTGGTAAGTATGTGGAAAGCACACAGGCAGGAGCCATGGGTGTTCATGGCTAGACTTCCCGATTTCTGGAAAGAAATGAAAAAAACCACACTATTTGTTTGAAAATCCTGAAAGCTGGGACATTCCTCATGGTGCAGATTCTTTTTAAGTACAACATCATTCAGTGGGTTGCCCCTGCTTCTATGAAGAACTGCAAAGGCTCTATTAATTTGCAATCAGTTAGTATTCCTCAAAGTACTCCAATTATTTACAGCAGAAGGGCATTTAGTATCGATTTAACAGTAATTAGTAAGAAAAGCCAGTCATACAACAATGCTGAGACATCCTAACACGGGTGTCTTAATTTAAATTATTCCTTAAAATATAACACTTTTAAAAATTTCTTGTCACTCCAGTCAAGCTTGCATAGATTAATTTTATTTCATTAGCAATCTCATTATTACCACTAACTTGTTAGGTTTATTTTTATTTGTGTGTCTTCTGCTATACCATGAGTGGAGTAGTCTTTTAAGGAAATATGGATCTGATGGTAGACCAAAAGTTACAGGAATTGAGGGTCTAATCCTGCATCAGCAAAAATAGACCTGTCGCCGTGCAGAGTGCTAGTACACAGCCTCTTAGCCAAGGGCTGTGATCTGGAAGTGCTTTGCTTCATTATAGTCTTGAGTAAAATCCAATCTGATTTCCATGGGGTGGGGACAAGAACAACTGCTGTCATGTTTACTGCATATATGCAAACACAAATAAGCTGTCTGGAAAAGTAGCATTTCAGTGAGGTCAGGAGATCTTCCGCAGCGCTCATCTCCCGTTTATGAAATGGGGCATCTCCCATTTCATAAACTGAAGCCGCTCTATGGTTACAGAAGAGGTTGCTTCTCATTTCTGCCAGCACTGCACCAGAACCCCTGATTATGTCGGAGCAAAGCTCACCCAGCAGGAACCTCAGCACGCATGGGCCACTGCCAGAAGACAGCCATTCACCCTTTGTCTGCCACCATGGCCACAACCCCTGGAAACAAGCCTCAGCATACACGGCCCTGGCAGCCCTCCCTCCAGCCCCTGCCCAGGCGCTGCTCTCAGGGCTTACCGTTGGGTCGGACAGGAGGGCTGCGGACCAAAGGGCTGGTGGATAAACTGGTGAGTACCATGGCTGCTGTTACTTTATCCATGTCGAGTTCTTCTGAAGATTTTCTGAAACATAGTGAATGGGAGACAGAAAACACATCGGCAACTACTTTTTTTAGTTGTTTTTTCTTTTTCTTCTGATAACAGACCAAACCCTAAGCAAGCCACCAAGCAGAGTTCTCACAGCTCTTGTCTTCTGGCAACCTGAGCATACCAAGTGGCTACTTTAAGCAAACCAGCTCAGCATAAATAGGAAAAGCAGTGGGAAAAGAGAATACATCTTTGTATAAAATTGTCAGGATTATTGTGACTCTCCATTAGTTTGACCCTGTTCCCCTTTTTCAGAATTTGAGCTATTAATGTCCTTAAAACCAAGTGTCTGTTTAAGTTTTTTTTTCTTGGATGAAGACACAGAGATGCAAAACCAGTAAGATTACCAGTAACAATAATATACACTACTCTCTGTAGGAAGAGGGAGAACTATGAACTGGAACTGAGGGATGTGATTTTTATTTTGTGGCTTCCGCTTAACACTATTAACCTTCCTGTACTCTCTCTGAAAGACCTATCCTAAATTTTTCCTAGTCAGATTATGAACTAATTATTTAAAATAATTAGTAAATCGGCAGAAGCCCCCTGAGGAAGGGAGGGCCGGCAGTTTTCTGCAGGTGTGATGGGTGCCTGAGCCAGCAGGACAGTGCAGTGGGAAGAGAGGAACCTGTCAATGCCTTAGCTCAGCCTTGCTGGGAACCAGCCGTAAGTCGCTGCTTTGATTCATGCACTTAAGACCAATGAGTTCTGGGGAAAAAAAAATAAAATCAAAAAAGGCAGAGGAGAGGGCATGGGGAAGGGGTAATATGGGAGAGGAGGGCAGCCAGCTTTCCAGGGAAGAGGATTTGGAGACAACAGATGCCTCCAGAAACCAGGCTTCAGTGACCCACTGCTCAAGGAGCAATGTGGTTTTTTTTAGACAATGCAGAATTTTCATTGGCTGCAAAAATGTACATACCATCACTTTTTTTTTTCCAAAAGTAATTTTTCCTGACAGGTTAGAAGTACAATGTAAAATTTCTGAAGAGCGAATGTACGAAAACAAAGCTACTAAACCCACTAGGTTTAGCAGACTTTAGATATCCATCCTTGTGGGGCAGTGGAACCAAAGCAGACAGCTTCTTGCAAACTTTGCTTTCAAACATATAAGACCATCTTCTCATTTACTAGAGATCAAGTTGAATTTGTTCTTACGAAAGGATACATTTTCCCCCCTCTATTCTGCATTGTGGGGTTTCCAGAATTTCCTCCATGTCTTGCCAGGAGCTCAGGCAAGAGCTAACTAACCATCAGGTTGAGTCTTTATTTAAAGCCCAATATAAGAAGTGTTCAGCTACCTGATGTTTTCCGTCAACTGTTGATCAGTAAGTCAACAAATCACCATGCTGCTTGCAGTCCCCTTCCTAGAATCCCATTTCACCCATCAGGTTAAAGGCCCATTAATTGGAAACTATGCTACAGTCAAAGCCTCTAATATTTTAGTGAGCAAACCTCAAACTTGTCCATGAAACAGTTCACAGCTGCTTTCTGGCTGATGCAAGGACCCACACAGATGCCGATGAACACTCTCCTATGCCGCACAACAACTTAGCTCTCATGACTGTCTTTTGCAACACATCAGTGCCTGGAACTGAAATGCTGATGATAGTTCCAGCTGTGTTCTGATTACATCCATAGAAACCCTCCTTTCTTTCAGCCAAGGTTTTTGCAAAGAGCACTGCAGCCATATGGTCATCACTAAGTACTGGAAGGATCTTGGGTATCTGCTATAATCAGCTAATACCTGAATTCATCACCCATCTGGTCCTCCTGCCAGCAGAGAGTATTTCATTCAGAATGCCAAATTCCTCTGGGTCTAGAAGACCGTTCCTCAGGGATGATGTGGAGATGCTACATTTTCTGGAGACCAGCCCAGGCAGATGATTTTCCAATTATCTAATATCTCAGCATGAAAATCCACTCTCTGAGAAGCATTCAGCTGCTCTATAGTCCACTCCTGCAAGACTACACCAACTGTCCCTACTCCTTTATCCAGCTGTGGATGAACCACTAATATTTGCATTTCTGTAACATATGAGGACAAAATGACCACAGGTTCCTGATATGCTGAAGAAGCTGATCCCTAGTGTTTGCAATCAGCCTTCCAACAACGCTTTTCTGTGTGTGTGGCAACAGGACTAAAGTGCTCCCATCCAGGCCTCTGCAGAATTGCAAAATCACACTACAGCAGCTGTTGCAAGCATTTGTCAAGTTGGTGTCAAGATGTCAGAGTCTAGACCCAGAGTTAATCCCTAAGTTCCTCCAAATAGTCCATAATTTTAATTTCTAGCTCTTCTGTATTTGATGGGGTTTTTTCCCCTCTACAGTGACTCAGACTGCTGCTCTTAAAAACTAACCTTTGCTCCAAATAACCTTATCAATAATGCCCCAGAATTGTCAGCATTGGCATCTGTGCCTAAGATGAAAGTTTTCATAGGCAGTCAAAGAACAAGAATAGTCATTAAACCCCCCCACCACTGCCATTTCTAGCCATGCTAAACCACACTTGCAATTACTGGAATGTTTATTTCTACTTGACCCAATTTAACAGGTTTTCAATATGGAAAGCCCAAATAAACAAAACTTTGAACTTTTTCTCTGCCCATTTTGAATCACAGTCATTTTTACTACTTTCTGCTCCTCAGCTGCATCCAGCAAATAAGCAATGCTCTGCTTGTACTTCCCATCCACAAGAATTTTAGCAGCTACAAGTGTTGGGTTTATGTGACTTTGCTCCCAAACACATTTTTACAGTTTGGCTCATAAATGTAAACACACATATTTCATATGTCACTCAGCCAGCACCACTGCAGCAACAGCAGCCTTCGAGAGGGAGGCAAAGCATAAAACTGAAGACAGGAACCACTTAAGCCATCTGCATTTAGTCAGCATCACATGTGAGTCGATGTCTTAAGACTGCCCCAGTCTTTCCCAGCTTTCTCCATTGGAAAGTTAAACCTGCACACAGCTGTTCAACAGTATTTGCACTCAGAGGGGAGCATAACTTCTTTGTTAAACGTTGATGTTCACAAACCATTTATTTCACCTCTGTGAAGGTGATTTTCTGCAGACTGAAGTTATAATCCCTGATGTTGCTTATACTGTTATTAGGTGTAATGAAATCTACATCAGTTGTTAAGATTGTCTACTACATCAGCTTTGACTCCAAGCAAGTTTAGATCCTTTATTTCCAAGTCTTTGTAAATCCAAACACATGCCAATAGATGAATTATAATGAACCAGCTGAGACATAAGCAGCAGAACTTAGAGGACCTTGGGGACAGATCTTTTACCACCACCCCATGTCTCCCAGCTTCATGTCTCCCTGCCTCCTCAGCAGGTTTCACTTGATCCCTGCAATACCCTAACCTAGCCAGCCTGGTATTTAAAATTGTCCTTTTCTTTAGTGGCCGAGCTCAAATTAAACTTAATTACTACCCCCACTCTTTGCTCCATCCTTTCCTTGGTTTTGCTGATGAATTTACTGCTTTTTTGATAATTGTTTAACTGTGTTAAGAAACTATCACATCCTCTTCAGTCAGAGCTCTCTGCAAGGAAAGGCTGGGTTTAAGCTCCAAAAGATGAGCAAAAGAGGGTCCAAGACAAGTCCAAGGCTACACAACTGTCCCAAACCAACACAACATCCAATCTCCTACTGTCCCATTTCCTCAGCCAGTAGCTGACTCACCTTAGGACCCGTGTTTCCTTATGGGACTGAATCCATGGTTTAAGCTCTTGGTGCAATTCTTCCCTGCTAGCAACTCTCTGGCAAGGGGACGTCTTCCTGACTTCCCTTCGGGAAAGGTGCACAGGTCATCTTCTGGCCACTGTCACCTCTGCACTCCCTACCAGGCGTTACTCCCATCTGTACATACCTATACCACACCTCTGTTTTTTCCTGTTTTTTCTTCTATCAGTCACAACATCATCGCTGGTTGGAACTTTTTTTTTTTAACCTTTCTCTCAAAAAAACCTTAGAAACATGTATTTTATTCTAGTTTTGAAGTCTTTAGTCTATTCTTTATTTGCCTGGCTTAGATAAAAGACGCTCCAGTTCTTCCTCTTGGAAGGACTGCATCTTAGGTCAGTACTTTACCCAAGCGTATATTAAGGGTCCTGAAGAATATTCTTAGAGCAGAGAAACTGGTAGTGCTAGCAGGTATTTTTGATAAAACTGACCTTATTAAAAAAGATAACTAAGTTAATTTTAAGCAAAGAAAAAATAAAAACTAGATAAATTTATCTTCCCTGACCAGAACTCCAAAGCTTTCAGTTAATTCCCTGACCAGCAGCCTCTGACCCAAGCAATGATGCATAGGTTCACCATATGGAGAGTGCCCTCCTATATGGTCAGGAGCTGTGCCAACGGGTGAGTGCAGACCAGGCAGTGTTTTCTTCACCAGGGCTCTAATCCCATCAAGAAGGTGAGAGGGGGGGGCAGGGCCAGCAGCATCCTCCAGTTGGGAAGGGAAGAGGAAGGGTATTTCCAATTACTTCAAGTGGAGGTTGGCTACAGAAGTTGGGGGTCACAGACCCAGCCGCCTTCTCCAGAACCATATCCCCTTGCTCTTCCAGCACTGTTGAGCTTGCCTTTCCTTATCCTGCTTTCTAAACAATAATCACCTGAAGCCCATATGCCCTAAACATTCAGACTTATTAAAACGCTTACATTTTTCTTTGTTTTGGCAGAGGTATGTGCTTACCTATTTCTTACTGCTATCCTCACCAGAGGGACACAGCATAAAATAAATAAAATTTAAAAAATTAACTAGGATCGATCAAGATCCTAGAACTGTGACAGTTAGGCACAAAAATGCTAGTAAGCTATGTTAGCCGGCTTCTGTCCTCCACCCAAAAAACAGCTTGTGATAGTGGTTCACAAAACACCTTGATCCTTTGTTAAGGAAAAAACATATAAATATGCATCCCTGCCATACGTATACTTCTAAATGCTCATAGAGAGACTTCTGAAGTCC